TCTCTGAGGGTGAAACCTGCTAACTGCTGCAGATCTGTCAGCTTCATGCAGAGCTCGGAGCACATGTGTGGCTCTGCACCATTAGCAGCGTTGCTAACTCCTCAGTAAGGAAAGCCTGCTTCATGTCTGAGTCTCTAAACTCCAGAAGAAGTCGATAGAAGTCCCTTTCTTTCTAAAAAAAAAAAGGCGTTAGGTGGTCTGAAAAGTCTTTGAATCTAACAACAAAGTCGCTAGGTTTGCAACTACGTGTCCCAGACTGCATCCCTGCTGAGAGTCCCTCCCTCCCTTCTCATGTTGCAGGAAGACCGTAAGCGCCCGCCCCTTGTCAATCAGTCACCATATAATTTTGGATTGGTTGTTGTGGTGAAGTTTTCCACCAATAGGAGAAATGTTGTGGTGTGTTTTTTTTTTCTTTTGGCAAGCCTTTTCCGCCTGTAAGACCTGTCGCTAATGTCTGCATGCTATGTTTTCCTGTCTCATACAACGCGATCGAGCGCCGAACGTGATCAAAATAAGCAGAAAAAAAGTATTGCAGACATAATTTATCATAACTCTGGTTTTATTTGGCCTATCAACACAATTTAAAAACTGGTATATAGTTTAAGGTCCTCACTTTGGAGATAAGTTGAAACGGAGAGTCAACGAGGCTCCGTCTTGCAGCTACATCCGGTTAAATATGTCATGTGACTTGAACGCTGGGGAGCGTCAATCGACTGCAGAGCCAGCAGACAAAGTAGTTATGGCCATTGAGAGGCACACATTTGTCATATGCTATAATCCTAACATATTTTAATGCTTTTTCTATTTAAACCTAATGGATCTAAGGTTTGACCTTCAAAATTTAGGAAGAATATGTTTTTGCAGAAATGACCCCCTTAAACAACCAGAGGTCCTTTCCTAAAGTTTATGGAAATTTTAGTGAAGGCCTTGGTTTCTGTCCTTGCAAAATGCATAGAAATAATAAAGCTAAATACCATAAAATGGTCTTGGCGTATTAGCAGTGATATAAAATAGTGGTTTGAATATGAATGAACAACAAAAAAAACATCAACAGAGCCTTTTTGTGTTGGGATTCTTTCATTATTACACAAAAACAGACATAGACAGACATCTAAAGGGTAAGGGAATGATCAGCCCTCCTGACTCTCAGATGAATCTTCAAAATTCACCTCAGAAATATGCTTATTCTTCTCAGAGTACTGCAGGATTCACACACACACACACACACACACACACACACACACACACACACACACACACACACACTCAGAGTCTTTTTTTAGCACCTGCAAAAACATGCTATTTACATATTTGACAAGAATGCAGAGGCTCCTTTTGCCCCTGAAAAAAATCAAATTTCAAACACAACTTGACTGCTCATTTCTCCAAAAGACAAACATGAAGCTCCATCCAAACCTGAAGCAGGCAGTTGGTGCATGTGTATAGTAACCTGAGGGGAGTGAGGTGACTGCTTCTGAGGAGAACATGAGCAGTGAAGATTCACCTTGGAGCTAGAACAGGGACGTGCACATGATTATACAGGGGCAGGGGCTCAAGTTTTTTCCAGTCGTTTATACAATATGGAAATTAATGTGAAATTAAAAACAAAGTATTAATAGAAAGGTAATGACTGTCCTGTGTAGGTGACCGTGATATCCAATAGGCTAGGCACTCACAAGGCTGGCTGTGGCAAGTGTAAGTGAAAGCAACATGCACTGGCAGGAAGAACAGCTAACACAGATGAAGGAAAAGGGTCTTTGCAGTGATGGGCGTCACCAGAGAGGGCGACAGCCAGAGGACGTGAATGGGACAGGGAGGCGGTCGCGCTGGGGGCGGCGCGACGCGGCTCGGGCCCGACAGTGCCCCACCGGGGCCCTAGTTCTTTCTTTCTTTCTTTCTTCTTATTTTTCCTCCCCTTTGAAGGGGAAAATGGCCCACTTCCCACTGGCGAAAACTCATGAAATTTGGCAGGATGACCGGGCCTGGTGAAAAATTCGATATTCTGAAGTCGCCCAAACAATAAAATGCAAAATGGCTCCATAGCGCCCCCTAAGGTGGAAATTCACACTATTGACTGTCACGCCTGTACGCTTTGTCATATTGACACAAAAATTGACACACACATGTATCTCAATACGATCTACAAAAAAGTCAGTGTGGGCGTATCTGTCAAATGTACAGTTAAAGGGTTATTTCGCATTTTTTGCCGATCCGCACACATTGGAATTTCGCTAACTCCTCCGAAGGCTTTTGTTCCACCGGCACCAAATTTGCTCAGGCCAATCTACACCCCATGGCCATTAAAAGTTGTACAAATCATGACGCTGCACCCCACGGTTTAGGTTCTAGGGGGCGCCAAAGATAACCCAAAAATCCACAGTCTTAAAAGTCTTATAACGTTTTATTTTTGTCCTCACTGGCCTCCAAGTTCTCTAGGATGATGCAATGTCCAGCAATTAACACATTTGTGAAGGAATTTTTACTCGCCAAAAGAGCGCCCCCCATGGCAGGGGAAAAAAGTCCATTTTTTTCTTGTCCCCTAAGGCGAAAATTCACATTGTTGAGTGTCACGCCTGTACGCTTTGTCATATTGACACAAAATTTGACAATCACGTGTATCTCAATAAGATCTACGAAAAAGTCAATGCGCGCGTATCTGTAAAATGTACGGTTAAAGGGCTATTTCGCATTTTTTGCCGATTCGCACACATTGGAATGTGGCTAACTCCTCCTAAGGCTTTCGTTCCACCGACACCAAATTTGCTCAGGCCAATCTACACCCCATGGCCATTCAAAGTTGTAAAAATCATGACGCTGCACCCCATGGTTTACGTTCTAGGGGGCGCCAAAGAGGACCCAAATATCCACATTTTTAAAAGTCTTATGACTTTATTTTTGTCCTCACTGGCCTCCAAGTTTTCTAGGATGATGCAATGTTCAGTCATCAACACATTTGTGAAGGAATTTTTTCTCCCCAAAAGAGCGCCCCCCCATGGCAGGAGAAAAAGTCAAGTTTTTCCTGCCCATCGCTCAATGGCTCAAACGCATCGCTCTCTCGGCAAAACCGAAAGGAGGAGCACCTTGCCATTTGGATATATACTAGCTGTGTTTGTGCCCTCACTCATGGTCCAGACTTTTTTCAAAAAGGACATGGAGTTTTTTCTGCAGCAAGCGTTTTGATAGAAACTGCGCCTCCCATTCATTATAATGGTAAATGACCACAGACAAGTGCGCACACCATCTTTGGACCTTGAGTGTGACGCCATCGGGAGGGGTAGGCGGTCGCGCTGGGGGCGGCGCGACACGGCTCGGGCCCGCCAGTGCCCCAACGGGGCCCTAGTTGTGGTTTAATTTCACATTAATTTCCATATTGTATAAATGACTGGAAAAAACTTGAGCCCCTGCCCCTGTATAATCATGTGCACGTCCCTGTTCTAGCTCCAAGGTGAATCTTCACTGCTCATGTTCTCCTCAGAAATAGTCACCTCACTCCCCTCAGGTTACTGTACACATGCACCAACTATCTGCTTCAGGTTTGAAATGGAGCTTCATGGTTGTCTTTTGGAGAAATGAACAGTCAAGTTGTGTTTGAAATTTGATTTTTTTCAGGGGCAAAAGGAAGCCTCTGCATTCTTGTCAAATATGTAAACAGCATGTTTTTGCAGGTGCTAAAAAACAGACTCTGAGTGTGTGTGTGTGTCTGTGTGTGTGTGTGTGTGTGTGTGTGTGTGTGTGTGTGTGTGTGTGTGTGTGTGTATCCTGCAGTACTCTGTACTCCTGCAGTGACCAAAAAGACTTTTAAGAATGTGGATTTTTGGGTCATCTTTGGCGCCCCCTAGAACTGCAGTACTCTTTACTCCTGCAGTGGCCAAAATGACTTTTAAGAATGTGGATTTTTGGGTCATCTTTGGCACCCGCTAGAACGTAAACCGTGGGGTGCAGCGTCATGATTTTTACAACTTTGAATGGCCATGGGTTGTAGATTGGCCTGAGCAAATTTGGTGTCATTGGGACGAAAGCCTTAGGAGGAGTTAGCCACATTCCAATGTGTGCAAATCGGCAAAAAATGCAAAATAGCCCTTTTACCGTACATTATACACATACGCGCTCTTTGACTTTTTCGTAGATCTTATTGAGATACACGTGATTGTCAAATTTTGTGTCAATATGACAAAGCGTTCAGGCATGACACTCTACAATGTGTGTTTTCACCTTAGGGGACAAGAAAAAATGCACTTTTTTCTCCTGCCATGGGGGGGCGCTCTTTTGGGGAGTAAAAATTCCTTCACAAATGTGTTGATGGCTGGACATTGCATCATCCTAGAAAACTTGGAGGCCAGTGAGGACAAATATTAAAAGTTATAAGACTTTTAAGAATGTGGATTTTTGGGTTATCTTTGGCGCCCCCTAGAACCTAAACCGTGGGGTGCAGCGTCATGATTTGTACAACTTTTAATGGCCATGGGGTGTAGATTGACCTGAGCAAATTTGGTGCCGGTGGAACGAAAGCCTTTGGAGGAGTTAGCGAAATTCCAATGTGTGCGGATCGGCAAAAAATGCGAAATAGCCCTTTAACCGTACATTATACAGATACGCGCTCTTTGACTTTTTCGTAGATCTTATTGAGATACACGTGATTGTCAAATTTTGTGTCAATATGACAAAGCGTTCAGGCGTGACACTCTACAATGTGTATTTTCATGTTAGGGGACAAGAAAAAATGGACTTTTTTCACCTGCCATGGGGGGGCGCTCTTTTGGGGAGTAAAAATTCCTTCACAAATGTGTTGATGGCTGGACATTGCATCATCCTAGAAAACTTGGAGGCCAGTGAGGACAAAAATAAAAAGTTATAAGACTTTTAAGAATGTGGATTTTTGGGTTATCTTTGGCGCCCCCTAGAACGTAAACCGTGGGGTGCAGCGTCATGATTTGTACAACTTTTGATGGCCATGGGGTGTAGATTGGCCTGAGCAAATTTGGTGCCAGTGGAACGAAAGCCTTCGGAGGAGTTAGCGAAATTCCAATGTGTGCGGATCGGCAAAAAATGCGAAATAGCCCTTTAACGGTACATTTGACAGATACGCCCGCACTGACTTTTTTGTAGGTCTTATTGAGATACACATGTGTGTCAAATTTTGTGTCATTTTGACAAAGCGTACAGGCGTCAGGTGAATTTTCACCATAGGGGGCGCTATGGAGCCATTTTTCATTTTTTTGTTTGGGCGACTTCAGAATATCGAATTTTTCACCAGGCCCGGTTGTCCTGCCAAATTTCCTGAGTTTTCGCCAGTGGGAAGTGGGCCATTTTCCAGTTTAAAGCGGAGGAAAAATAACGAAAGAAGAATCCATCAGGAACAAGAGGGCTCTCGCAGCTGCTTAGCAGCTACGCTCGGGCCCTAATAATAACAAAAGAAGAATCCATCAGGAACAAGAGGGCTCTCGCAGCTGCTTAGCAGCTACGCTCGGGCCCTAAAGAAAGAAGAATCCATCAGGAATAATAGGGCTCTCGCAGCTGCTTAGCAGCTACGCTCGGGCCCTAAAGAACTAGGGCCCCGTTGGGGCACTGGCGGGCCCGAGCCGTGTCGCAACCCCCCCCCCCCCCCCCCCCAACGCGCGGCCTCCCCGTCCCATTCGTGTCCTCTGGCCATCGCCCTCTCTGGTAACGCCCATCACTGCAAAGACCCTTTTCCTTCATCGGCGTTTGCTGTTCTTCCTGCCAGTGCGTGTTGCTTTCACTTACACTTGCCACAGCCAGCCTCGTGAGTGCCTAGCCTATTGGATATCACTGTCACCTACACAGGACAGTCATACTTTGTTTTTTAATTTCACATTAATTTCCATATTGTATAAACGACTGGAAAAAACTTGAGCCCCTGCCCCTGTATTATCATGTGCACGTCCCTGTTCTAGCTCCAAGGTGAATCTTCACTGCTCATGTTCTCCTCAGAAGCAGTCACCTCACTCCCCTCAGGTTACTGTACACATGCACTGACTGCCTGCTTCAGGTTTGGATGGAGCTTCATGGTTGTCTTTTGGAGAAATGAGCAGTCAAGTTGTGTTTGAAATTTGATTTTTTTCAGGGGCAAAAGGAAGCCTCTGCATTCTTGTCAAATATGTAAATAGCATGTTTTTGCAGGTGCTAAAAAACAGACTCTGAGTGTGTGTGTGTGTGTGTGTGTGTGTGTGCGTGTGTGTGTGTGTGTGTGTCTGTGTGTGTGTGTGTGTGTGTATCCTGCAGTACTCTGAGAAGAATAATAAGCATATTTCTGAGGTGAATTTTGAAGATTCATCTGAGAGTTAGGTTTGATTCGATTCGATTGACGCTCCCCAGCGTTCAAGTCACATGACATATTTAACCGGATGTAGCTGCAAGACGGAGCCTCGTTAACTCTCCGTTTCAACTTATCTCAAAAGTGAGGACCTCAACCTATATACCAGTTTTTAAATTGCGTTGATAGGCCAAATAAAACCAGAGTTATGATAAATTATGTCCGCGATACTTTTTTTCTGCTTATTTTGATCACGTTCGGCGCTCGATCGCGCTGTATGAGACAGGAAAACATAGCATGCACACATTAGCGACAGGTCTTACAGGCGGAAAAGGCTTGCCAAAAGAAAAAAAAAACACACCACAACATCTCTCCTATTGGTGGAAAACTTCACCACAACAACCAATCCAAAATTATATGGTGACTGATTGACAAGGGGCGGGCGCTTACGTTCTTCCTGCAACATGAGAAGGGAGGGAGGGACTCTCAGCAGGGATGCAGTCTGGGACACGTAGTTGCAAACCTAGCGACTTTGTTGTTAGATTCAATGACTTTTCAGACCCCCTAACGACTTTTTTTTAGAAAGAAAGGGACTTTTATCGACTTCTTCTGGAGTTTAGAGACTCTGACATGAAGCAGGCTTTCCTTACTGAGGAGTTAGCAACGCTGCTAAGGGTGCAGAGCCACACATGCGCTCCGAGCTCTGCATGGGAGACTGAAGCTGACAGAGCTGCAGCAGTTAGCAGGTTTCACCCTCAGAGACCACCAGGGGTTCATGTTGAGGCATTTTCAGTTTTTGTTTTTTTTTGCCATAGATTGTCAGCACAATCTGCAGTTACACTAACAAAAATGCTGCAAAAAACAAAGAATTATGGAAAAATTACACATGGACTGACATAGAGGAGGATCTACACAAGTTTTTTACATCATGTTTTACATCATGCATCATTTACATCATGTTTTTTTGTAGTGGCATAAATAAAAAGTGACATTTGTGAGACTATACAGTGTTTTGTAAATAATTTTACAAAGAACGCCTGGGCCATTGCCTGCATTTTGATGTAAATAGAGGTAAATTACTATGTTCTTTGTTAAAAATTTGCATATGTTTTGAAGTTTACAATTTTTATTTGAAGTTTAAGTTTTAAAAACAGTTCATCACACATATTTGTGGTTTAATTTCACATTAATTTCCATATTGTATAAATGACTGGAAAAAACTTGAGCCCCTGCCCCTGTATAATCATGTGCACGTCCCTGTTCTAGCTCCAAGGTGAATCTTCACTGCTCATGTTCTCCTCAGAAATAGTCACCTCACTCCCCTCAGGTTACTGTACACATGCACCAACTATCTGCTTCAGGTTTGGATGGAGCTTCATGGTTGTCTTTTGGAGAAATGAACAGTCAAGTTGTGTTTGAAATCTGATTTTTTTCAGGGGCAAAAGGAAGCCTCTGCATTCTTGTCAAATATGTAAACAGCATGTTTTTGCAGGTGCTAAAAAACAGACTCTGAGTGTGTGTGTGTGTGTGTGTGTGTGTGTGTGTGTGTGTGTGTGTGTGTGTGTATGTGTGTGTATCCTGCAGTACTCTGTACTCCTGCAGTGGCCAAAAAGACTTTTAAGAATGTGGATTTTTGGGTCATCTTTGGCGCCCCCTAGAACTGCAGTACTCTGTACTCCTGCAGTGGCCAAAATGACTTTTAAGAATGTGGATTTTTTGGTCATCTTTGGCGCCCCCTAGAACGTAAACCGTGGGGTGCAGCGTCATGATTTTTACAACTTTGAATGGCCATGGGGTGTAGATTGCCCTGAGCAAATTTGGTATCGGTGGGACGAAAGCCTTAGGAGGAGATAGCCACATTCCAATGTGTGCGAATCTGCAAAAAATGCGAAATAGCCCTTTAACCGTACATTATACAGATACGCGCTTTTTGACTTTTTCGTAGATCTAATTGAGATACACATGATTGTCAATTTTTGTGTCAATATGACAAAGCGTTCAGGCGTGACACTCAACAATGTGTATTTTCATTTAAGGGGACAAGAAAAAATTGACTTTTTTCTCCTGCCATGGGGGGGCGCTCTTTTGGGGAGTAAAAATTCCTTCACAAATGTGTTGATGGCTGGACATTGCATCATCCTAGAAAACTTGGAGGGCAGTGAGGACAAAAATAAAAAGTTATAAGACTTTTAAGAATGTGGATTTTGGGTTATCTTTGGCGCCCCCTAGAACGTAAACCGTGGGGTGCAGCGTCATGATTTGTACAACTTTTAATGGCCATGGGGGGTAGATTGGCCTGCGCAAATGTGGTGCCGGTCGAACGAAAGCCTTCGGAGGAGTTAGCGAAATTCCAATGTGTGCAGATCTGCAAAAAATGCAAAATAACCCATTAACCGTACATTTGACAGATACGCCCGCACTGACTTTTTTGTAGATCTTATTGAGATACATGTGTGTGTCAATTTTTGTGTCAATATGACAAAGCGTACAGCCGTCATGTGAATTTTCACCTTAGGGGGCGCTATGGAGCCATTTTGCATTTTATTGTTTGGGCGACTACAGAATATCGAATTTTTCACCAGGCCCGGTCGTCCTGCCAAATTTCCTGAGTTTTCGCCAGTGGGAAGTGGGCCATTTTCCAGTTTAAAGCGGAGGAAAAATAATAACGAACTAGGGCCCCGGTGGGGCACTGTCGGGCCCGAGCCGCGTCGTGCCGCCCCCAGCGTGACCGCCTCCCCCTCCCGATCGCGTCACACTCAAGGTCCAAAGATGGTGTGCGCACTTGTCTGTGGTCATTTCCCATTATAATGAATGGGAGGCGCAGTTTCTACCAAAACACTCGCTGCAGACAAACTTCATGTCCTATTTGAAAAAAGTCTGGACCATGAGTGAGGGCACAAACACAGCTGGGATATATCCAAATGGCAGGTTGCTCCTCCTTACAGTGTTGCCTGGAGAGCGATGCGATTGAGCCATTGAGCGATGGGCAGGAAAAACTTGACTTTTTCTCGTGCCACGGGGGGGGGAGAATGTGGATTCTTTTAAGAATGTGGATTTTTTGGTCATCTTTGGCGCCCCCTAGAACGTAAACCGTGGGGTGCAGCGTCATGATTTTTACAACTTTGAATGGCCATGGGGTGTAGATTGGCCTGAGCAAATTTGGTTTCAGTGGGACGAAAGCCTTAGGAGGAGTTAGCCACATTCCAATGTGTGCGAATCGGCAAAAAATGCAAAATAGCCCTCTAACCGTACATTTGACAGATACGCACTCATTGACTTTTTCGTAGATCTTATTGAGATACACGTGATTGTCAAATTTTGTGTCAATATGACAAAGCGTACAGGTGTCACACTCAACAATGTGGATTTTCACCTTACGGGACAAGAAAAAATTGACTTTTTTCTCCTGCCATGGGGGGCGCTCTTTTGGGGAGTAAAAATTCCTTCACAAATGTGTTGATGGCTGGACATTGCATCATCCTAGAAAACTTGGAGGCCAGTGAGGACAAAAATAAAAAGTTATAAGACTTTGAAATATGTGGATTTTAGGGTTATCTTTGGCGCCCCCTAGAACCTAAACCGTGGGGTGCAGCGTCATGATTTGAATAACTTTTAATGGCCATGGGGTGTAGATTGGCCTGAGCAAATGTGGTGCCGGTGGAACGAAAGCCTTCGGAGGAGTTAGTTCGGAGAAGTGGGCCATTTTCCAGTTCAAAGGGGAGGAAAAAGAAGAAAGAAGAAAAAACAAAGAAAAACCACTACAAGAACAACAGGGCCTACGCCCGGCTGCTCTGCAGCTGGCTCGGGCCCTAAAGAAGAAAGAAAGAAACAAAGAAAAACCACTACAGGAACAACAGGGCTCTACGCCCGGCTGCTCTGCAGCTGGCTCGGGCCCTAAAAACCCCCCAGAACAACCATACCAGGCATCCCTCCCTAGCTTTCATGAGAAACATGAAAGCACCTACAGGTGAGGGAACGCAACAGCCAGCAGCAAGAAACTATGAAGCAACCTACCCACCTCCAAAGCTTGTGTAGTATAGGTTACCCTCAAAACATGATCGTGGGACAGGATTAATTTCATCCATACACATATTTATAATTGAGAATATGCTTAAGAAAACAATAGATATGGGACAGAATTATGGCGCAGCAGCATTTTTCAAAGCACTCAGCTAATTGAGCATAAGAATATCTTGAGCCTTGGGCCTGAGGTATCATTGACAGGCTTATGAGGACCATTGACCTGTAGCCTTGAGCATTGAGACAGGGGCAATGGAGGATGCCTTTGTAGCTGCATCTATGTGTAGAGTCGCACTGGGGTGGGAGCCAGTGGGATTAGCAG